AAATTCATGTAGTTTCTAAAGTGGATGAGAAGAGAAATAGCAAGTAATCCCTATAAATAATCCCAACTTTTAATTTTTACGCTTAATTTCTATTTAAAATTCACTTTTATAGGAGGTAATATTTGGTCATGGACCATTATTGGCGGACGGTCCATATAGTTGGGATTATATAAAAATAATCAATAGTTGGGATTATTATTAGCGGACCGGCAATAGTTGGGATTATTATTTTCAATTTTTCCAATCTTTAATCATTTTTTTTTGGAGAAGGTCTTTATTTTTCTTATACTCTATTTGTTTTCGTAATAGAAGAAACTAGATTTTTTACATGGCTGAAAACTGAGCGACTTAAAAAACATCAACCCCTTTAGAAATGCAGTATTTTTTTATATATTCTGTTGAGTACCACACATGACGGAACTCCAAAAAGGTTAAGAAACTTTAGTACCCATTTTAGATTGGGTCCATCCCTATTTGCATAAAACAAGTTTTGAAATGTTTGTTTTATTTTTATTCCTAAACCTAACACTTTTGAAGCTTTAGAGGAGCTATATGAATGAGATTTTTTTTAGGAATCCTTTTTTTAGCGGTAGAAATTTTAACGCAAGTGAATGATGGAGCAGATTTGCGAGTAGTAAAGATTTTCCTCCCTAGATAATCGTTTAAGATGTTTGGTTGAATACACTACCTCGAGGGGATATGTCAAGCAAATATCATCACAAATAGCATAAGTAGAAGCTTTAAATCTCTTTTGTAGAGATTTCTCATCATTCACATCACAACGATGGAAAATCATTAGAGAACAGTGCTTCACAGTTTCACTAATGACAATGCTAGAATGAAAATTCACATTTCGAAACTCATAAGAAGAAGACTTTAAAGAATTGTTTGTAACAGAATTAAGGGAGTGACTGCTTGAACTTGAACATGTCACTTTAAAAGCATCACAAGACTTAGAAACAACATAATGTTGTTTATTTTTTCGAAGAACATCTTAAGTTTTGCAGCTTGCCTTTGACTTGGTTTTATAATCCAAGCCATTCCCTTGTCTTGAGGTAATTAAGATCATTACCTTTTGATTTTAGAAACGTTTTTTGAGCGAGGCTTTATTGATTTAGCCGTAGAAACAAAAAGAGGAGGTAGATACTATATTTGTATTAGGGGATTTTTCCCCAGAGAAGTTGTCTCATTTTTATGTTTTTCACGTTCTGTTTTGAAAATCATTCTTTCAATTTCTCGAGATATGTGCTAGTCCATAGTTTTGCAAAAAATATTTGGAATGTAAACATTATCAGTTTTAGGATATTTAGATACAGATAGTTCTTCCCCGCAGACACAAACTCACTCTCTTGGCAACTACAAATTGACTCCTACTCGGTAAACATAAGAATCTCCATTGTCTTGTAACTATCATTCAACTCAGAATAATCAAAAGAGATTTCACTTTTAACCTTATTTCTTTTCTCTTGCTCAAGGACACTAGTTTCTGCCGCAAAAGTAAAGGCCATCAAGGGGGTAAGACCTAAACCCAGGTAATTTATGACATAAAATTGACGTGAAGTCACTCTCATAAATCAAGGGTACTAACCCCTATTTCCAATTATAATGTTGTTAGATTAAAATATGTAACTCTTACAGTATCGATAAATGATAGCATGTAACTACTTATAGAAAATCGGGGTTTTAATCATGTTGGCTTTCTCTAACTCCCTTCAAGACGATGGATACTCTATTTAATTATAGTCTCCCCAAGAACAACAACGCATGATGTCTATATATCACAATCGCATGATGTTTCTTCATGAATCATCATAGTTTCATCTCATATAATCAAAGACGCGACATGCAATAGTTTTGCCTTCACCTACACTTCCTGGATGAATATTGTAGGTAGAGTGTGCCATAATATTTATGGGAATAGGAAATCAAATGATGTTAGAAATTTTCTTTGAAAGTAGAAAACGCATATGAAGTTTATCGGAATAGAATGATACAAAATCAACATATATACTATCTATGTCCTGTATAATTCCAACACATTGATTTCTACATTTATCACATATTCTACTTTGACTAGATTTTATTTATTAATGTATTAGACTTTTTTGAAAAATAATGTTCAATTCATCTCAATTTAAATTTCCATTTTTTTGTTATAGTAAATTATACTATCGTAAATATTAATAATCAAAGCAGTGTGTTGGAAAACGTGAAAATGAAAGTATTGTACCTAAAAAAAGAACATATAAAATATAAAAGAGAAATTTTTCAGGAGCATACAAAATGCCATATAAGCATGCGATGTCACTATTATATACTTCTAACCAATCCAATTAATTTTTAATATGTATTAGGAAATAAAGTGGAGAATTTTAATTATGGGAAATTAACTTTAAATAATACCAATTATCACACATAAACCAATAATAATACATACTTTGAAAATGATTTTTAATAATATCAACTATTTGTGTATAAAACAAAAATAATATGGAGTTACTTTTTATCAAGAAATCTAGTCATTTAAGACATTAAAAACTAATAGCAAGGTATCAAATAAATGATATTTGGAAATACAATCACTTATTTGATATTTTGATACTAGTTTTCGATGAATTAAATAATTGAATTTTCATTAAAAAAAATGCTCGATATCACTTTTGATCTATGTTTAGATAGTTGGTATTATTAGAATTTTCAAAGTATGTATTATTCTTAGTTCATGGAAGTTAGTTTGTATTATTTAAAGTTATTTTTCCTTTAATTATTGGAGAATATATTTGAAAATATATTATCTGCTATTTGTTTTAATTTGTTATATACTAAAGATAGTCATACATGGTACACATATAGAAAATATATGTCACAATTTCTTAAGAGTTTTAGTTCGGTAGTACATTTATACTTACCATAACTTTTGAACATGTATATTTGGCCCCTTGTACATACGAATAGACGTGTTAAACGTTTTCGCTTGACAAATATAATTAAGAGTAAGATGAGGAGTTTATTTCTCATTGCAAACATATTGGTTAGAAAACAATTTCATTAAATAAATTTAAAAATAACTCAATTTAATTATTTTTCGCATCGCTAATGCATGCACATTCGGCTGAAAGTACCAATTTCATAAGATTATGGAGAATAAACATTAAGTAAAAATATTTTTATATCTAACTCGAGAATCTCACAATGTGTATGTTCTCATAATTAACTTATTATATTATATACTTTATCAATACAATTTCAATTCCTTAACTCGATAACCTATATATCATGAAATGCATATGGAGAATACAAAAAATATGAAATTAATTCATTTTTTTCTTATCCAAACACATGCACATTTAGTATAAAATAATATTCCCATTATTTTATGGACAATATGATACATAGATAAATATGGTCTATATTTATTTAGGAGAATCACACAATGTGTATGTAACCATAACTTACTTATTATATCATACTTTATCTGTATTATTTCAATTCTTTAATTTAAAAATCATAATTCATATTTTTAAATGCTTCTTTTATTTTAAGAGTGAGCTGAAAGGAAATTTTATTAGTATCTAATCATTACCTCTTATATTTTGAATACACTAACATTTTTATCGCATATTTTTTCAACAAAAAAATATTGTTTTTATTGAATAATCATTTTCATAAGGAAAACTAATCATTATACTCTTTTTATTAAATAAATATTATATTGACTTTATTTTTTGAAAATTAAATTAATTATTTTATATGGTTTTTAAATAAAAATAACTATTATCATTAAAAGAAAAATAATCTTGTAGAAAATAATATACTGTTTTTTGCAACAACAAAATGTGCATATGAGTAAATATGTATGAATATGAAATAAAATTAGTTAAGGAAAGTCAAGCAAACTACATTAGAACTGAACTAATGTTGCTCGCATATTATTAGTCATCTATGCATCACACGAGTTTGAAATATATATATAGTATTAGTATATAAGAGGCCTCATCCTGTCCAGCCGGAGGGACAGGACCCGCCGTCCGGCCGTCGCCATTTGGGGCCCTTCTCGGTGGAATTTTTTGCTGAAATGTTTTGAGCATGTTCTTCATGAAGTCTAGTTTATCCATACCAAATTTCAGCTAAACATTCAATCGGGAAGGCAGTCAAATGATTTTTGAAAGTTAACTGCGCAGTTTATATACATATAAAACGCAGTTATTTTCCAAAATTCATTTGAGTGCCTTCCCGGTTGAATTTTTAGCTGAAATTTGGTATGGATAAACTAGACTTGATGAGGAACATGCTCAAAAAATTTCATCAAAAAATTCTACCGGGAAGGGCCTCTGATGGCCTTGGCCGTACGGTCCCTCCCGTCTCTCCGGATGGACCTGATCTTTTCTGTAGTATATAAATCGAATGGAATGTGAAATATATAAAACATTTCAAAATATGCGTATTGTCGTGGAGTAGAATATACTAAGTATGTAAAAATACCGAATGAAAGTTTTCCAAATTTTATTAAGTATGTGGTTTTCTAGAACCAACTCGGTAAAGCTTTCAAAAATGTAACATTAAATTCCACATTACAAAGTACTTCAATTATACGTATTTTCTCTAAATGGAATGATTATTTTGTTTGTAATTTATTTGGAAATTGATACTCCATATATATCCTAAATACTACGAATTTAGGACTAAATTACAATTAATAACTACTCAATACTTGGACTCAATAGCAATTGTGAGAATTTATTTTTAATAGAAGGTTGTACTTAATTATTAAGTAAGTAGATGTAAATACTATGAATTTAGAATTTAATTGCAATTAATGATTATTCACTAATCGAACTCAATTGCAATTAATTTTTTTAATAGTAATTAATTGAAAATTCAATTTTAAATAGAACGTTGTATTTATTATTAGGTAATGGAATTGATTAGTAGATATACTCTATATAAATTTAGCAAAAACCAATTGACATTAATTTCCATCAACCTCCTAAATCGTTTTTACACAAGAAATGAGTAGTGTTTAGAGGGTTATAGCTTCGACTGTCTTCTCTCAAAGTCTGATCGATCCGATCAATTTCAGAATGTCCAACCCTGCGGAATCTCTGCTTCCAGAGTCAAAAGTAGACCTCTTAGACGAAGCAAGCAATTCTCATACACTATCCCAGCCCGAAACCGTAGAAGAAGAAGCACCAGGTGGAGACATGGCGCCGTCAGCTTCACCAGGTAACCTTAACAGGCGCGCCTCCAAGCGCAAGAGTGGTAAGAATGCCAAGAAACAACAGGCTATAGATAAGAAATTGAATACCCTTAAGAGCAGTTTGAACCCTATTCCCTTTAGGCCTCACAATAATTTTGATTTTAACTCGCATGAGAAGCTGCTGAAGCAGCTAGGGCTGTGGGAATTTGCTCACATACAGCTTGATCAAAATATCAGGTCTGATCTGATCGCTGAGTTGATCGCGTCTTATGACCCGAAACTTAGGTGCAGCTATGTGAATGACTTCAGAATCCAAGTCAATAGAGCTGATTTAGGGCGGGCCCTTAAGTTACTCATCAACAAGGGAAAGGCCTTGCAAAAAGCCGTTGAGGGTGAGGATCTTGATGGGGCGTCGTTATCCGATGAGTCCATTAGATTTATTGAGGATTTTGTGTCAAATTTTGTGCTTTTGCATGAAGACGCGTGGATAATGCCTCGTGAAGTGATCGGTTGGACAAAACTGATAAAGGAGAAACGCCCGGAGAAGGTTGACTGGGCTGGGTTGCTCTGGTTCATGGTGGATAAGGAGTTATCACGCGGGGAGCTGTTAGGTGACTGTTACTATGCTTCCCATTTGCAGTGCTTAATCAAGTCACAACGTGAAGAGCTATTTTCCAGGGAGGAGCCTGATACAGTTCAATCAGAAGAGGAGTTCTTGAATGAAGAGACAGAAAAGACACTGCATGTTGAAGAAATGGTCTCTATGGATGAGGCTGAAAATGTGGAAGAAGACAAGAAAGAGGAGGGGGAGAGCGATGTTAAAGAGGGTCAAGAAGAAATGACAGTGTTCAAAGAGCCAAATGTCGAGCTCACATTAGGCCAGGATATCAAAGAAGACGTTGAGATGGTAAATCCTGAAGGGCACGTTGAAAAAGAAGAAGAACAAGAAGAACATGAAGAAGAAGAAGAAGAAAATGATTATGATGAAGAAGAGGAGGAAGAAGAGGAAGAAAAGGAGGGGGAGGAGGAGGAACATCGGTTCTTTTTGCAGCAGTGTGGCAGGAAAGAGTTATGCAAAGAAGAGATTTTGGAAGAAGAAGAAGAAGAAGAGGAAGAGGGAGACGATGATGGTTTTGGTGTTATGCAGAATGTTGATACCATTGATGGGGATTTACTTCAGCACACAGATACCACATTCCTCTCTGGTGGGAATTTTCTCCCTGGTCAATCCTCGCTTGACTTTTTTTATCATGGCAGTAAAAGGGGAATTGAAGATGATGATGATGATGAAGATGATGACCCATACATGGCTACTCATTCTCTTAGGGGGAATAAGAGACCAAGGGTTGAAAAGGGAGAAGAAGAAGCAAGGCCATCAGATGACAATCAAGAAAGTCTTGGGACAATCATTGATCGAATAGAACACTTGATCACCAAAGCTAAGCTTGGGAATGAACTGAATGAACGATCCGTGCATGAGTATAGCATGCAGAATCAATATCTGCTTGGGGAGGTGCATAAGCGTGACAATGCGATCGAACACATCAGCAAGACAAAGTCTGAGGAGATCCAAAAGAGAGAAGAGAAGATTTATCAGCTGGAGAGGGAGCTTTCCATGATGGGTAATATTCTAGATGGTTATAGGAAGGCATTGAAGAATACCCGCAAGGAGTTTGCTGAGTATAGGGTCCGCGCCCAGCTTCCCGAGGAACCGATATACCGAGATGTGGGGCCCGGCGGTCTAGTGCTGAGTGTTATTGAAATTGAGAAGCTTCGTTTAAAACAGGAGGAAGAGTTTAGATCAAACTGCTTGCTTTTGGAGATGAAGGCGAGAGAGGCTGTGGAAGCTTATGATGCCGCATTTGAAATGCTCATGCAGAAAGTTCTTCATATGGGCAGCAGGTTAACAAGCCTATCTGATGATTTCAATGAACTTAAGAATAAAAAGCTGAGCAAGAAGAGGTAGCAGACGAAACCTTGTTGTTGTGATACTTTTTTTGCTAGCCTGGGGTATTAGTGTGTTTAAGTGGCTTTATCCTGTGAACTTCTATGTTCTGTCCACTGCTTGCATTTGTATTTGTTTAAGGTTGACAAAATAGTTATCAGTTTCTTTTCCGTGTGCTTGAGTGCAAAATTGCAGAAAACCAAAGGTCCAAAACTACCCATGATCCATTTTGTTTTCTGGGATGCCAAAACTTCTTACTAGTCCAATTTGCAAATTGTATTGTTTTGTGTTATTTTTTGGCTAAATTGTGCTTTTAGCTTGTGAACTTCTAAAGTCTGTCCACTGGTTGTATTTGTATTTTAATTTTTCAGATGCATTTTAACTTTGTTGCTTGAATTTATGATGAAGGAAACCCAAGATTTTCTTGGGATCCATATATTTCCTAGGGGAAAAATGAAAAATATGTTTTGGGTTTTCCTGCACATTCACTTGAAAAAATATTCATGCTTTTCTCAGTTCTATGACTTGTCATGCTTTAGTACAGGGGTAAGGCTGTTTACATCTGACCCCCCCTACCCCACCGTAGGTGGGAGCCTTTGCGGCACTGGGGTAATGATGATGATGACCTTTTGTCTTGTGGAAACCGGAAATTGATTTCCTGAACAACTTAGGGTCAAGCATTGTATCATTATTAGATTCAAACTTAGAAAAAATGGTATTAATGGACATATCGATACTTTGAATATGAAAATATGTACGGAGTATGTATTTTAAAATTGATATGGGATAATTATCTTTTTTGGGGGTGGGAGGTAGTAGATGGGCGGACTGACAATTTACAAGTTATTTTCAGAATAGGTAATATACTTTTTTGTATGAATTGTAGTGTTAGCTAATTGAAGACAATCAATGGACTAAATTTCATGCCATCAACCCTTATATAGTTAGGGTAAAGATTATGATGACAACAGTTAGATGTACAACTTGAAACATTGATAACACAGCCATGAGCTACAGAGTGGACAGACTTCAATAAGCAAACCAGCTCTTGATATTGCTAATAGCCTACCTAAATATTTTGAGCTTTTCCAAATGCTCCTTGGGCATCACATCTTAAGATGTGGAGTGATGTTGCGATGATGAGGTAGTACTGTGATAGACCTTCCAGGTTAGAGACTTATTCAATTGGTGAGAAACCCTGAGGACTTAAGAGAATCATTGATGGTATCTGTAGTCCTGTTCTTTTTGGATTATTTGGATTCATTCCTATTTGAGTATAGAATATAGGACATTAACATACAGTCTTAAAGATTTGGTGAGTATAGGATAGGTATTAACATACTGCTTTAAAGATTTGGTGAAATAGTAGGTATTTACCAATGTCTTATATAACAACAAGCCTACAGCTCCTAGTTAAGAAGCACATTTTTCCTGTCATAGCTTTGGTTTGTTGAAGCTCCCTGCTACTACCACAGAAATTCTCTTTAAAAACAGAACTTGGATGCTTCAGTGCAACTGCTTTCTATGGCTTACCATGTCAATATGCAAAGTAGCTATTCAGCTTCATCCGATTTATTTATTTTGCATAAAAGATATGGTAGTTCTTGTTTTTTGTATAAAAAAGGATTTCCATCCTTGACTTCTCTGATATCATGGCATAGTTTTAAATATTTTAACCATTGATGTTAATTATTCATTTATTTTGTGTTAATGGTTATGAATCTAGTACTTTTTGAATGGCTGAAAACAATATATAACAGATCTCTTCAGTTGAATCAGCCTTTTTTGGGCGTCGCAGCAAAGAGAGATGATGCTTCCCACAGAGAAAATTGACATTTTTATTAGATGGCGTGGATATGTTTGATTCATGCCTTTATTCAACCGGTAACCTGCTGGTGATTTTTATTTATTTATTTATTTATTTATTTATTTAATATAATCTGGCATATCAGTTCTTTATAGTGATATAGTTGATTGACCTTGGCAAAATGGTAGGGTGTGATGTAGGGAGCTGGGAGGACAATACAGGATTACAGTGTGTACCTGAGAAGCAGTTTATACTTCATTGTGGAAATTATTTCTGAAACTTTGTTTTGGATGGATAGGACCTCTGTCGATTCATATGAGCCGACCCCAAAATATCTTGGGACTAAGACTTGAGTGTTGTTGTAGACTTGTAGGCTCTCCCGCGAACAAACTGTGTTCATTAGCGAGAATGAAGTATATGAGAAAGGTGGAGTGTGTATAAATCGACCAAGTATGTAGGTCTGGTTCACATCTAATTAACCAATTAAATTGGTTCACCCGAAGAAATGAATAGGGTCCCTAAATATGAGTATTTCTATCAAGTTTTATTAAACTGTCATGTTTAAGGCTTAATAATGTCAAACTTGACAAAAATTACTTCTGTTTAGGGAATAAAAACATAGCAATCCTATTTTAGAAATTCAAAACTTTTTTACTCCTATTTAGGGGATTTTCCCAAAATATTATGCCCCTATATTTCACCTTTTTACTCCTATTTAGAGATTTTTCCCAAAATAGTATACCCTTATATTTCACATGCAATGATATAAAGTAATTATTTCGCACACTATCAAACGTCTTCTAAAAATTTGTCTATTTCAAACGTGTCCAACACTAACCTGAGAGAACTTTATGCAAGTTCGCAACATAACTAAATAGGGAAAACATCCTTATTTGAGGCGCACAACAATATAGTACACACTCACAAATCGGGGAAGGCAACATTTATTTAAAGATAATGTAAGTGACTATCTGGAGAAGGGGTAGGTATATCAGTTTGGTTTAACCAAACCGTATCAATCCGAATCGAAATAAGATCATATGCAATTTGGTTTGAGTTTGATAAAATTTCTCACAAACCATATTAAACCAAATTGGGTTGAAATCGAGAGAAACCGAATAAAATTGAATGAAACTAAAGAGATTCAATAAAACATTCATATGTTATTAAAAATGACAAATCCAAATTGAATCGAACTAAATTAAACCGAATCCAACTATACAAAAAAATAGTGTGATTTTTGTTTGGTAATAAATCTTCCAATCCGTATCAAATCGAACTTAACCGGAAAAAAAAACGAACTGAAAATCAGTATGCACATCCCCTCGAGGAGAAAGGATAGGATGCAGTTTTAACTAGTGGTGGATTGGTCTGGTTCCATTACAGAGTAAAATCAGTATGCACATCCCCTCGAGGAGAAAGGATAGGATGCAGTTTTAACTAGTGGTGGATTGGTCTGGTTCCATTACGGAGTAGTTCATTACTTCATTCTTTAGAAAAAACCTCTAAGTGATCAATTTTGATATACATATGCTACGTAGTATATAAGTTTTTCTTGCTTACTATACCCCTCCTCCATTCGAGTCACAAACAGTTATATTCCCAAAATGACACGTTTTTCATTACATTTCATGCTTGGTAGATGAGCAACCATGAGATTTCCTCAGTATATATAGGATTTATATAAGATTTCTTATGTGGACACTTGATTATTTCAGACCTGTCTAATTGGAAAAATTACTATATCTCTTATTTGAATGGTCATATGTAGTTCTGTTAAATTATTCACCACAATGTCAACCATAATGAGCATGTGACCCTTGGATGTTGGAAGCATGGTTTGCAGATGATGTGTAGCAGTATAGGCATTAAAGTGTGAATTTATGAAATCAAGAAACTCGAATGAGATATATGGCAAATTAAACAACTCATATTCCACTATATCAAAGGAACCACACAAATTACACACATGTCAAACACTAAGGACACGTTTACTTCACTGGTTACTAAACAGTGTTTATTAAGACTCGTTAATAAACAACGCATAAAATAAGCAATGTTGTAAGATAATATTTACTTCAAAGGGTTTAAAACACCATTTAACATTAAAATGTCCAAAATAACCCTATATAGACACACAAACATTCATGAACACAAGTATAACCAAGCATTCCAGCCGAGCTGGTTGTGAGGTTACCGTGCTTAGCGGGAGGTCTCGAGTTCGAAACCCGCTAGGCACATAAGGGTTTGAAACTCAATGGAGTGAGTTTTATCCCTAATTACTCCAGCCCCCCTGGAGTAAAAAACAACAACACAAGTATATAATATAATATGTGGGCTAACCTCGTACGTGTACCTATACCCCTAACCCCACCCCCACGCTATACCGTGTAACCCCACCCTACCCCTAATTCCACACCCTTAACCCCTACCCTTACCATGACCTTACCCTCTACCCTTACTCCCCTACAACACCCCAACACCTACCCTACTTGTAGGGGTGGGGTCGAGGTAAGGGTAGGTGGTATGGGTAACAGGCTAGGGTCGGGGTAGGGTAAGAGGGTACGGGTGGGGTGGGGTTATGATCGGGGTAGGGCAAGGGGGCGGGTGGGATGGGGTAGGATGGGGTCGAGGTAGGGGAAGGTTGTATGGGGTAGTGGGGTAGGGGTCGAGGCAGGGTAGGTACGAACAGGGTTGGGTGGGGTGGAGGTAAGGGGTATGATCGTGGTGGGGCCGAGGTAGGGGCAAGTGGTAGGGGGTGGGGGTGGGGAGGGTTGTGATGTGGGGTAAGGTATGAGGATGGGGGTAGGGTAGGGGTCGGGGTGGGGTCGCGGTGGTAGGGGTGGGGGGGTAGGATGGCGGTAGGGTACTACACCTGTCTTACTAATCTAACTTTGACTTTAGGAGCGAAGTAAACATCTCATAAGACTTTAAGTTTGGTCTAGTTTGAAGTAGGGTATGATATTAATTTGTATTATTTAGCTATTTTTTAAATCTAGTTTGTTCATGTTAGTTTAAATCTGATATGATTTAGCGTTATAGTTAGGGTTGTAAACGAATCAAATAATTTGTGCTCGATTCGCGATTCGAATTCGTATAAGACGATTCGAATTCGGAAAATTCGAATACAAATACAACAACAACAACAACATCCAAGTCTTAGTCCCAAAAGATATTGGGGTCAGCAAAATTCAAATGCAAATAAAAATAAGAATATTAAATTTGATTTAAGTTGTTATCAAATACAAATAAGAATACCAGTGTATTCGATTCGAATATTAATCAAATATATTCGATTAATAATAATGGTAATATTAATATCAATATTAATAATAATAGTAATAACACCATAATAACTTTTAAAAGATAGCATTACCCTCAGAGTGTAGCACATACATACACTTTTGCATACAGATTCCAAGCCCATTTGTAATAAACCCGAATATAAATACGAATACATTCAATTTTTTGCTTCAAATGTCTTTCAAATACAATACAAGTAATTATGTATTCGATTTGAAGAATAAAATTAGAGTTGTTTGACTTTGATATATACAATTATCAACTTATTTCACACATTATAAGTATAATTTTTAATATGTGTGTGTTAGTGTTTACTTCAAAAAGTTTGAAATAGATTTATATTTATTAATCATAAAATTAATTCACTTTAGTATATTGTGCTGTTGTGCACCATCAAAAAATGCATTGATTCATTAAATTTAAATTCTATAAACAAATATTAAGTCATACCATGCATTTACAACATAAAAAATACGGAGTATAAGAAAAGTTATTTTAAAGTGATATTTGACTTATATTTAACATATGCTCAAATCAAATCAAATCGACATTCGTTTATGATTCGTTAACTATTCGTATTGTTAAACAAATACAAAAAAAATCGAAATTAATATTCGTTTCATATTTGAATTCGAATTCATTTTCGAAAAAATTAAACAAATAGAAATGCAAAATCTCATTATTCGACTCGAATCGATTCGTTTACAACCCTAGTTAATATCAGTCCAAGTAAAAAAATCTAAACAGACACTAATTACATTCTCTAATGTTAATACATCAAACTGTTAGTGTATATCTGAGAATTTAAAAGGAGAGGAGGTGGTTGTGAAGGAAGAGGGAAGTGGATGGAACTATTCTTATTGAAGAGTTGCAAATTTATAATTAAAATCGTTTACGATGTATTGCATATTCGAATAGGTGAAGTTGTATTCATTCTAAAAGAATGAATTTTTAGTATAGGTTTCACATATTTTTTACTTCGTTAATTAAAAAATAATGATTCTGAAGGAATTACTTTGAAGAATATCTTAATATTAATCCAAAATCGTTTTTTTTTTTTTGCCTAGCTCGTGAGCGGAGTATGTTGCACTCTAAGCCAATAAAACACCAAGATTTGGGACACTTGAAGTACAGTTCATATCAGGAGCTCCCGAATAAAAGTCCCGTGCGAACGAGACCATCAGAGGGTCTTTTCAAGGTAATTTTTTGATGAAGTGTTTTGAACATGTTCCTTATCAAGTCTACTTTGCATACCAATTTTCAGCTCAAAATTCGATCGGGAAGGCAGTCAAATACATTCTTGAAACATATGACTCATTCTGCACACATATAATGCGCAGTATGTTTCAAGAATTTATTTGACTGCTTTCCCGATTGAATTTTGAGCTGAAATTTGGTATGAATAAACGAGAATCTATGAGTAACATGCTCATAAAATTTCATCAAAAGTTCCACCGGAAAGACCTTTGGATGGTCTTGTCCGCACGGGTGACGGGGCTTCTCTTCAGGAGCTCCTGATAGGAACGGGACTCTTGAACTACAACCAGGGATGGAGCCGGTCCGGGAACTGGCCCAGCCCGCTACTGTGCGGGACCGGACCGGCTCGGGTGACCGGTACCGGGCTTAGGCCCGACCCGAAGGCTATTCTGGGGGCGGGTCTGGGGCTTGAAAATTGCAGACCGGCCCAGCCTGTTCGGTCCGGTCCGGGCTTTTATTTTTGGTGTTTTTGGGTTTGGGCTGGATTTAGGTGGCCTGGGCTGAGTGTTTTCGAGGAGTTTGGGGTTTGGGGGTGGGGGATGGGTGGGGGTTGGAACAAATAAGAAAACCCCCAAAAAACTGAACCGGCCCAGAACCGGTAGACTCCCGGGCCGCTCTCGGGCCTTACCAAAATAACTCCAAGCCCGGCCGGGCCCGATCCAGAACCGGACCGGGCCCGATCCACCTTTAACTACAACCGTCAATATATAAATGATTCTTTTCTGCAATTTCTTCATTCCCAACCACCTAATTTTGCCCGATATTGCATGTATTTTTTACTTTGTGCTGCATAGCTTTTTAACCCTGTTCAGTGGCTCATGAATCTCATCCGAAATTTGTACATTCATTCCAACATTTAGTTTTAAAAACCAATTGTCATTTTCTACACAAAATCACATTCATCCTCTATATGACAAAGCGGCAAGAAATAGACAAAGACTCAAAACAAAAACAACAAATAATTT